ACCCCCAATCAGTCAGTCATCTACTTCTGGAAGGAGACCTGATCATAGATATGGCAATTTTCTTCAGCTGAAGGCTTAACGCTGAGGGCCATCTTCTGGCAGCACACCCAGAAGCTGGAGTAGTAAATCATCACGCCTGAAGGAGGACTGGGTGGCTCACCACAGCATCCACCATATAGAGGAAATTGGACAAAAGTTCTGTTTGTTCTGTTTGTAAAGTTCATCTGAAATAATAAATATGATTAAATACTTTATACAGTTTTGACAAAGAAGAGTAATGTGGGAAATCCTACCTCGTAAGATATTATAGTATACTATGAAGCTACTTATAATCATTAAAAGAGTCAATTACTGGCATAGGCATAGACAGACTGATCAGTGGAACAGAAATGCAAGAACAGAACAAACTCTTTCAGTCATAAGAGCTTAGTTCATAATATATGTGATCTCTTGATCTAGTAAGGAATGAGAGATTATTTAATAAATGGTCTTGGGACAAAAATGAAATTAGATTCCCTAACTCATACTTTACACTCAAGGTAATTTACATGGATTAAAATCCCTCTCAAAGTAAAAAAGAAAACAATGTAATGTAATAATGAGAGTCGAAAAGGACTTTCTAAGCATGATCTCATAATCAAAATCTGTAAAAGAAAAAAAATTAACTCCAAATAAGATTAACATTTCACAATGGCAACAAACCTACTATAATTCATAAATCTAGTATTGACTGAAGGCTTATTATATATCAGATACTGTTATCAGGACTTCATAGGAATTGCTAGCTAACCCTATGATCAAGGTACTGTAATGATCCTTATTTTATTAGATGAGAAAACTGAAGACTAGAAAGGTTAAGAAATTTACCTAAGTTCACAAAATGAGGAGATGGAAAAGCCAAGATTTGACCCCAGATTGCTCAAACCCACTATGCTATAAACAAATGTAAAAGGCAGTGACAACCTAGGAAAAATATCTGTGTCATCAATGACAAAAGGTGACCATCCCTACTTTAAACAGGTCTGTTACAAATGAAATTGAATATGTGAATACTCCAAAAGAACATTCAAGAGCCCAAGGTAAAGAAGAACAGCAATGACCAATAAACATTTGAGAAGAGCTTCAACTTCACAATCTTACCAGTGAAGAAAAAACAAAGAATTGAAATAAGGAGAAAACGTTTTTCCCGTGACCCTTAAGTCAAGAGTGAGAAAGGATACTGTCCTAAAAATGACAAAAGTGTGGAGAAATGGCCACTCATATAGCTAATGAGAGTGTTGTGCAGGGTGAAGTTTCCAACGAGCTGTTTGGCAATATCTATCAAAAGCTTTGACCCAATAATGCTACGGATAGGAATTTATCTTAAGAAAATGTGCAAATATATACATGGCACATATATGTTTTATATATATTTTACTCTGGTGCTGTAACAGTAATAAGAGTTTGTTAAAAAAAAAGAATATATTTAAACTACTATGCTATACTGTCATTAATGATGACAATACATATTTAAATTAACCTAGAAAGTTGTTTTATTGAGTGAAAAAAGGTATGTAGAGTGTCACATTTTTGTAAATACGTATAGCTATAGCCATAATAATCTAGATGAGTATACCTAGAATTTTAGCAATAGTTATTTTTAGATGGTGGGATTGTGGAAGATTTTCCTGTTTTTGCTAATCATTATATTCTTATTTTTCCACTGTAAACGTGTATGTCTTGTGAAATAAAATATAAATTTTGGTACTTGATGTCAAAGTGTGGGGTAGATTTTCTTAAATCTGAAGCCTTTTTGGAAATCGACAACAGCTGTCACATTCCTAGTTGGGCGCTTTAAATGTCTGTAAAGTGTTTCAACTTGCTTCATTTTTTTGGTTTCAATGTGGTTCATTTTTTTTATTTCAACTTGGATCATTTTTTTGCATGGATCCTCTGTGTGTGCTTGCTCCCTGTACCTAGAAAACTTGCCGTTTCATTTGGTAAGTAAAGCAGTCAGAGAACAAAGCCACCAATGTAATTTGAGTAGGTGTGGATCAGAATGAATTAGGCTGCAGGAAATGGTTTGGGACTGTTTTTCAAGATCTGTACTTTTTTTCAGTCTTTTGTATTCGGAGAAGATTGAAAGCCCAAGTGGGAAAGAAAGGCTTTCAGGTTCTCAGGTTTTTAAAATGCAGGTCTCGAAGGCCTTAGACTGAGTTTCCTCGGCATGACAGGAACAGAATTTGGTGCAAAAAGCAAGCAAATTGCCTTGGCGGAGATATTATCCCTGTGGTTCCTCCCATCCCCCTAGGCGTCCTGGGCTTTCTCTGCTCTCCTCCTCTCTCAAACACCCCTCTGCCTTTTCTCTGCTTCTTCCTTCCTCTGAGCTCCCTAAACTGCCAGTGTCCTTGAATTTGGACACCTTTCCAAAGAAAGTAGAATCACCTAGGGAAGTAAGAAGAAAAAATGAGAGTTTATTTTCCAGTTTTCAGGGGCTGTTTTTAGTGAGACAAATAGCTTGAGGGCTGTGCCAAGATTTTGTGTGTGTGTGTGGCTTTGTTTTGTTTATTTTTGCATACATGCATTGCCCTAATGCTGTATCTCTTTTACCCTCTCCCCAACCGCCTCCCTAAAACTGTCTGCAAACTCTCCTCACCCCCACAGGATTCCTAACTGGGGAGCAGTGGTAACAAAGAGGAGGGAAGACTGAGATACACGGGGTAGTGTTGTCATGGACATCTGGGTGCAAAAGTGGGCGGGAGACGGTCTGAACAGAGCAGGCTATGGGATGTCCGGATACCTACAGATAGTCCTGTTCTTTTCTGATTTGTTTATTCCTTCATTCTTTCTTTCTTTTAGCCACCCATTCTCCAAACATGAACATAGTTTTTTCATGTGTCAGACACTCTACCAGACCAATGGGATAGATAGATAAACCTACTTCCAGCCCTGGAGTAGTTTACAGCCCAGAGTCAAGATTCCCAAATATGTATGCTCATCAGAATCACTTGGAGACTTCTGTAAGAATACAGATTTCTGGGCCCCATCACAGACCTCATGAATCAAATTGCCAAGGGGAGAGTTCAGAAATTGGTATTTTAATCAAATTTCCCAGATAAATCTGTGCAGCCAGCGTGGATCTGAGGACCTATGTTAGGAAACCACTGGTAAGGGATTTATGAAGCCAGTAACAATAAATTAATTAGGAATGGAATTGCAGTGTAATTTTCAGGCCAGCCAGCTCTTCTTCTTCCCTCTCTTTCCCACTCTTCCTCATTCCGTGAGCACCCAAGTCAAGGAAGGTTTTTCAGTTTTCTATTGCTGTGTAATAAGCTGCCCCCAAACTTCGTGAATTACAACAACAACAACAATTTGTTATTTTCCACAATTCTGTGGGTTGACTGAGATCAGCTGGGTGGTTCTTCTGTTCCACATGCTGTAGCTGAGGTCACTCCTGTGGCTGCATTCAGCTGGGAGCTCTGCTGAGGTTCGAATGTCCAGGATGGACTTGCGTCCTCTAGGAGTCTCTCTCCCAATGGTCTCTCAATTCAATAATTTAGACCAATCTTCTTTGCCCTTTTGCAGCTGACTTCCAAGAGAGAAAAAGCTGATGACAGTTTTTTTAAGGGCTGGGCTCAGAAGTCCCAGAATATTATTTCTGCAACATTCCATGCATTCTACTGGTCAAAGTAAGACACAAGGCCAACCCAGATTCAAGGAGAAGAGAAATAGCCTCACCTCTCATTGAGAGGAGCAGGAAAGAATTTGTGGTCATCTTTAATCCACATAGATTTAAAAAAAAAATCCATGGGAAATTTTATGCTGGTTTATAAGGCCTATACACTCATTGACTTCATAGATAACTTTAGGCTGGGGGTTTCCGATATGGTCCTAGAAATTGGTCAGCTTAGACCAAGACCTTGGCTAGTTGTATGAGTGGCCATAAATGGACAATAAAATTTAATAGGGACAGGCTGTAAATACAAAATGGATCACTCCATTGTGACTACATAAAAAAGAGCTAAAGATAAATAATGGACTAACGAGGCATGAGAATGCAATCTAGACTTTTTGCCAAAAAGACTAGCATGATATTGAATCTAGGATCTTCCTCAATTTACGATGAGGTTGCGTCCAGATAAACCCATCATAAGTTGAAAACATCATAAGTTGAAAATGCATTTAATACACCTAACCTACTGAATATCATAGCTTAGCCTAGCCTACCTTAAATGTGCTCAGAACACTTACGTTAGCCGACGGCTGGGAAAAATCATCTAACACAAAATCTATTTTATAATCAAGTGTTGAATATCGCATGTAACTTATTGAATACCATACTGAAAGTGAAAAACAGAATGGTCATAAGTGTATCAGTTGTTAACCCTGGTGGCCAGGTGGCTGACCGGGAGCTGCGGCTCGCTGCCACTGCCCAGCATCACGAGAGAGTATCTACCACATATCGCTAGCCTGGGAAAAGATCAAGATGCAAAGTACAATTTCTACTGAATGCGTGTCTTTCGCACCATCATAAAGTCGAAAATTCGTTAAGTCGAACGATTGTAAGTTGGGGACCATCTGTACTGAGAAATTCTAAAGCATAGTAAAACCACGACTAGAATAGCATATCCAGATTTGACCCTTATGATTAAGAGTCAGAGTTGTTCAGGCTAGGAATAGAAATAATTTTTTTCTCTGTCCGTCTTGTCCTGGAGTCTGGACTTGATTAGAGAATCCAGGCCAGCCTGTGCTCTGGGATGAAGAGTTTGGATGAGTGGAGAAATAGGTAGTGGAAGGCCAGGCCATCAGCCACCTGTTGACTCTGTAGAACCAGGACTTAGGATGTAAGTTAGGCCATGTCACTTCTCTGTTCTCCCCTCTTTTGGCCGCTCAGGTTACTCAGAGTAAAGCTGAAGTCCTTGCAAGAGCCTACAAGGTCCCACCTAGTCTAGCCTCCCTACCGAAGTCCATCTTCTACAAATGTTCCCCTACCCCATTCCACTGCCATCAGAGAGCCTTTCTGCTGTTCCTGGGAGGTGCCAGCACACACCTGCCTCTAGGCCTTTGCACTCACTCTTCCTCTGCCTGAGATGCTCCTCCTGCAGATCTCTGCATAGCTCATGCCCTCACTTCTCTTCGGTCTCTACCTATATTCAGGCCATACCCCTACAAAAGGCCGTAACCCCTCCTCGCCCAGACTCCCTATCCCCACTACCCTGCTGTGCTCTCCTCGCTACGCTTCCTAGCATCTGACATACTTTCACTTCCTTGTTTATGTGTTTGTTGTCTCTCTTCCGCCATTAGCATAGGAACTCTGGGAAAGCAGCAGCACCATTTTGTCTTCTATCTCCAGTGGGTGCCTAGCACCTTATAGCTATTAAGCAAGGGTTTCTTGAATAAATGAATGAGTCTCCTTCTGAGCCTTAGGGAACTAAATGCAAGACCTGGATCTTAGTGGTCCTTCCATGAATGCTACTTTTTTTGTTTGTTTGTTTATTTGTTTTTTGAGGAAGATTGGCCCTGAGCTAATATCTGTTGCCAATCTTCCTCTTTTTTTCCTTTTTTTCTTCTCAAAGTCCCAGTACATAGTTGTATATCCTAGTTGTATGTTGTTCTGGTTCTTCTGTGCGGGATGCCACCTCAGCGTGGCTTGATGGGAGGTGCGTAGGTGTGCACCCAGGATCTGAACCAGTGAACCCCGAGCCGCTGAAGTGGAGCGTGCGAACTTAACTGCTATGCCATTGGGCCAGCCCCTCATGAATGCTTCTTGAATTGACTTGTTAGCCAGTGTGTTGCAGAGTCAATGGGTCAGGAGACCTGGGTTTAAGTCCCTATTCTGCCACAAACTTCTTTGCCACTTTGGGCAAGTATTTAGCCTCTCCATGTCTCATCAGGCATCTCCTCTATAAAAGTCAAAATTTAAAGGAATCCTAGATGGGAAAGTGTTTTGGAAAGAAAATTCCCAATGGCCTTGTATTATTATTCTTTGAGGGTCTTGCCTGCTGCTCAAGGCAAGAGAACTGCAGCCCCGTCTCTCGGTTCTATTCTTTGTGTCCTGCTGGTGGGGAGGGATAATATCAATGCAGTCCATTGTTAATGTGTAAGGAAGTAAAGGTAATGCTAGAATTCCCAGATGTGAGTGGGGCATGGAGGGTAGAGATGGCAATGTCCCAGACACTGGGAGATGTGGGTTTTATCACTGTCAGCATGGATTAGGATGCATGTCAGGAATACTCGAGCAGGGATTTATTAGGGTTTTGAATCCCTTTTCTGGTGGAAATTGTGGTTATTTTCTAAAATGTTAATGAATATAGCAGGAGCATGGGCTTAGGTGTCAAATTACTTGGGTTTGAATTCCATTTTACCACTTGTTACCTGTGACCACAGGCAAATGTCTTAATTTTTTTTAATGCCAGTCTCACCTATAAAACAGGGATTTTAGAAACTATCTACCTTGCAGGCGACTATGAAGATTAAATGTAAAGTGGCTGGAACATGTACATGTTTATTATTAATATCATCACTACTACTATTATTACGAGGAGGAGGAGAGTAGTAATAGTGGTTCCAGATCTACCACTTAGTAACTTAAATCCTCTGAGTCTCATTTTCCATTCAATAAAATGGGATGGTAATCTATATTACAAGGCTGGTATAGCAACCTTGCTTTGGAAACCAAATGATGGTGTATGTCAAAGAACTTTGTAAATGTGTGTGAGCTTTATCCAGGTGTTAGTTATTGCTGACTGTTAAGATCTAGCTACTATTACCGGCCCTAGGGGCCCAGCTCCATCTCCCCTCTCCCTTGGAACATATATGATGGTCCCGCATCCCTGGCTTTGGCCCCACAGTCTCCAGTTCCTCCATTTGCAGTCAGATCATCCTCCAGAGCTGAGGAGGCCAACGACCTCAGTCCCAGAGGCAGGGTAAACACAGGCTGTTCTCTTGTAAATCTTCCACAAGGGACCTTAGAGGCCATGATGGGGGAATATACTTTAAGAGCTACCACTGCAGACCCGTCTGAGGGTTGTCAAAACTGTCAACAAAGAAGGTTGACAAGTTTCTCTCCCTGAGGTCTTTAAAAATAAGAGTCTTGCCTGAAGATGGAGTCTGAATTATATGACCTCTCAAGATCACATCTCATTAAGATTCTGTGTCACTACCTGAGTTTGTATGGCCTCTTTTGGAAAGTAAGGCCCTTCAGTAATTAAACATTTGAAGGAACTGGGCATTCATTATCTGAGCATTAATTCTGAAGGCAGATCAGGGGATTCTGCAGTTTCAAACTGTTTTGGTAAATGGTCATTTTATTATTATCCAGCTGATGGAATTAGAAAGAGATCTTTGAACTCCATCTTTGTTCACATCCCTGTTCTTAGGGTTTCTATGTATAAAGGTTTTTGATTAACTTGCTGTGAGGATGCTCTGTTGAATTTCCTTTGTAGACATATCTGTCCCCTGTGTGAAATAGGGAGCTGCTTAGGGGCTGGAAACTTGTCTTCTCTTTGTGTATCTCTCACTGCCTGTCACTACACAGGGTATAAGAAATACAAGTAAATGTTTTACTTTTTTTAATAAACAAGTGAATAAAATTTCAGAGGAATTAGTCAATTGATAGTGACCAAATTTGAGACTGCTACTAAAAACTTTCAGCATACATCCTGCATTTGCTTTGTGGTTATCTGTCTTCTGGAAACAAAATGATTGACAAACATTTCCAAGTAAACTTCCCTGATAATTCTGAATTAATTTTAACGAGAGTAAGTACATTTCTGGAGTTTACAGAAGTCATTTCAGCAAGTGAAGTTTATCCACAGAGGATAGAATGAGGTTCTCTTTCCAGACCACTCAGAAGATGGAACGGAAGAAGGTTCCTAGTCATGTTAGCAATGAAAGTCAGGATAAAATTCATGTTCCAGGCCCCGGTCTGTGTTTTGTCATCTAGTTAAGATGGAAACATTCAGCAAAAATTGACTTGATTTATATAGATCCATTCTTCTGGCCAGAAATTTCTTGAAAGAGGTTGGTACATTGAAGACACAAGATCTGGATCCTGATTCTGACTTGAACACTGAGGACCTCAGCTTCTGTGTGGGTATACTGGGGGTGGAGTGGAAAGGGCAAGCTCTAATGTTCTATGACTCAATGCTGGGTTTCTGGTAACTCACCCACCAGAATGGAAATAGTAAGGAACTTTACAGCTCTGACTGAATTCCTTGAGACCAGAGTCTCTCACAGAGCCTCGTGCTTAAGAAGCAGCAAGGAGTGTTTATTGCCTCATGGGTTTGTGGCTGAAAGTCATGGTGGTTTGGGCACTGGCTTTGAGGACAGGCTGAACTGAGTTCTTTCCTCAGAACTGTCACTCATTAGCTTTATTACTTTATGTACATTAACCTTTGTAAGTCATCATAAAATAATAATATTTGCATTGCATTGAAAAATGGAAATAAAAATAGTGCCTACATCATAGGGTTGTTGAAAGGACTGAAATGATGAGATGTGTAAGATGACATAAGAAGCACCTGATACATAGCAAGGGCTGAAAAAATAATAGTTGCTAATGTGGTGGTGATGGATGGAGATGATGATAACCATTATGATGAACTGAAAGAGACAAGGACAATAGATTCCTATCCTCCTCTTAGATTGTGGAGAGGATTAAATGAGTTAACACTTGTAAAGGGTTTAGCAGAATACCTGGCTCACCGTAAGTGTTATTAAAGTGTTAATTTTTTAAAGAAAAATACGTAAATGTTTCCCACACTCTCCAATATAGATCAAGATTCCGCTGCATCAAGGTGGCAGAGAGGGAAGGCGTTGGCTGCCATTGAGACATTTTCTGGGCAGTGTCATTCAGTTTCATGATCAGGAAGGAACAATTCATTCCCTCCTGGATGTGCTGTTGTCTCTAAAAACAACAGGTTCTCTGCCAGAGAATACCAAACCCTTCTTTCTTTTCATCTTTCTTCATGCTCTCCTTTCTTTTGTGCTCTTTTTTTCCCCCTTTGGTTTGTATTCAAGCTACTTTCCCTCTGCTCTGATCTTCCGCCTCACATCTGCTCTTATCCCTCCTTTGCTGCTAAGCCACACGAGTCATGAGGGCCGCTCTGACAGAGGTGCAACTGTTCTTTGGCAATCAAAGAGCTTCTCATGCCCTGCTCGAAGTCATACGGTAATGCGGCAAATGCCAGCTCAAATGCCAGCTCAAAGCCGACCCCCTTTCATCTCTCCCTTTTGAAGAAACTCTTTGTGGGGGTCTCCTCATGAATACTATCTTGAGACTGAGTATATCTTTGCCCATTTGTTTTGCTTTTCTTTCTCATATCTTATGGAGGGAGTGGAAAGTCGGAATGTGTGAGAAAACTGCTCCGCAGAGGGAGCCTCCCATGAAACTCCACTGCTAACTTGGGTTAGAAATGAGATAATTTCCCTAAGGTGTGGGTTTGTCACATCTACTGGCCTGTTCAGGAGGCCTCATCTGCTCAGATTTCATTTGCACCTCACAGGTAACTCATGGAGTTACCACAGAAGATTATGGACTTGTCTTTAAGAATCAATGGGGGGCGGCCCCGTGGCTTGGCGGTTAAGTGCACGCGCTCCGCTACTGGCGGCCCGGGTTCGGAACCCCAGGCGCGCACCTACGCACTGCTTCTCCGGCCATGCTGAGGCTGCGTCCCACATACAGCAACTAGAAGGTTGTGCAACTATGACATACAACTATCTACTGGGACTTTGGGGAAAAAAAAAGGAGGAGGATTGGCAATAGATGTTAGCTCAGAGCCGGTCTTCCTCAGCAAAAAGAGGAGGATTAGCATGGATGTTAGCTCAGGGCTGATCGTCCCCCCCCCCCAAAAAAAAGAATCAATGGGTTTTCCCATTTGAAATTTGTGAATCTGAATTAGGTTTATCACATCAGATTTTTGTGTTTCAAATGTTTTAAACTGGTTTGCTGTGAACCACTGTGAATATACCAGGCTCAAACTTGTTTGGAGAGCATGTTGGATTATGGGAATAATCCCAGCAGCCTGTCCTCTGTCAGAGCTTTTGTAAAGAGCTTTCCTCCTCGCGTAAGTAAACACCCCAAAATGAGATCAAAATTCTTTCTAAGTCTCAGCATTTAACTAATCATTTTTGGTTACTTGTTGTTTACATTCAGCCTAAAGGACTTAACATAAGATGCAATAATATGGGAGAAATTAACTGTCTTGATTCCAGAACTGAGATGATACCTTCTCAAAATGAGATCCTTGTGAGATGCTCTCTGGATAATTAGGAAGAGCCTGAGGGAGGGGTGGTTTGGCCTTTAATCTTATTCTAGTTCTAACAAGCTTCGTTCCTTGTGCAGGTACAGATGTGTCAGCAACCATCGGAGGAACAATAGATCTTTTCTGCTTCTCAAAGTCTGACCCCCAATGTGGACTGAGAATTGGCATTGAGCATCTACTGTGTGTAAGCAAGTAATGTGCATTATCTCTAACCTTTATAAGAACTCTGTGAAATAGTATTATCTTAAGTCTTCAGATAAAAAAACTGAGGCTCAAAAGAATCAAGTAACTTAACCAGGTATGGCAGATTGTAGTTTCAAAATATGGTCACAACAATATTTTCTGTCACATGGCTCCTCCAGAACCTTGCTATTCTCCCATCCAGAGGTGAAGTCCATTTTCTTTCTCCTTTAAACTTGGTAGGCTTTTGTGATTGCCTCACCAGGTAGAATGCTGTGGAAGTGATGCTGTATGACTTCTCAGGTTGGGTCAATAAAAAGTGACTGTTTTCTGCCAGCTCTTTCTCTCTCTCTTTAGGAACACTCTCCATTGGAACCCAGCCGCCATGTTGTGAGGAAGCTCAAGCCACATAGAAAGGCCATGTGTAGACATCCTGGCCAATAGCCCTGGCTAGGGTCCCAGCCAATAACCAGCACCAACTGCCAAGACTTCCAACGATTCCAGGCCCCAGTGTCAAGACACCCCAGCTTAGTGCAGCAGAGATAAGCAGACCTTACTAAGTCCTTCTCAAATTGCAGATCCACAAGCAAAATAAATATTGTCATACTAAGATTCTAAGTTTTAGGATGGTGTGTGACATAGCAATAAAACCAAACCCTAAGCTAGTATAGCTAGTCCATGGATGATCCAGGATTTGAACTTAAATCTGTATGACTTTACACCACTGTAGGCTGGTCCTACTGTTCTAGATCCTTATTCTCCCAAGTCTTACTTCTCAAGTAACTCTTCTGCTCCATAGGCCTCTCTTAGCCTGGGACCCAGAGCCATTCTGCCTCTGCTGACTGTAGGTGTGCTCATCGCTATTCAGCCTCTAATTAACATCTGTAGTCATTAATATACAGAAGCCTGAACATCAGTGTATACACTCCAGCTAGAGACCTGCTTTATGCACTCATGGGGAAGCTTCCACATTAGGTTGTGGCTTTCATCAATGTTTCTTAAGGGCATCATAATAAGTCTTCACAATAGCCACACTATATTGTGTAGTCTTCCTACTACACAATATAGTGTAGTAGGAAATGTATAGGTTCTGAAATCTGAGTGTCTGGGTTCAAATCCCACCTCCTCCATTTACCAGCTGTTTGACCTCAGGCAATTTGTTTAATTTCTCTGTATCCTAGTTTTCCCATCTACAAAATGGGGCTACCAACAGTCCCTTCCTCATAAAGTTGCTACAGTGAATTAATGAATTAAATCCTTAGAACAGCAGTTGGCATATTAGCTCTCAGTAAATATAACTTATTTATGGGTCACCTATAATTTAGTACCATATTCCACCACACATCTTTTTCTATTCAGGTCGTTGCACAGGAAAAATGTACATTTCTCCTGTTGGCTGTTTTTCTCCATGGTTTTGTGTAACCCACTTTTGCTTTATGTGGAAAGCGGGGCAAATTCTGCTGGGCATGCATCTCCTGGTGGGGAGGACCCCATTCTACGCCAGCCAGAGACTTTGGTATCTAAGGTTCAGCCTTGCCCTTATCTTAGCTACATCAGCTGTTCTGTCAAATGAGAGCTTTT